TTTTTTTTTTTTTTTTTTTTTTTTTTTTTTTTTTTTTTTTTTTTTTTTTTTTTTTTTTTTTTTTTTTTTTTTTTTTATGCATTACTGTTGTTTAATATTGAGGGGTTTGCTTCAGGTTGGTGTTTGGCGGACTCAGAACTGCCTCAGAACTGCCTTCTCCTGCGTTTTCTTTGTATAAAACAAGAAGGTGCAGAAATTCCTTTTTTTTTTTTTTTTCCCCCTTTCCCCTTGGATTAATGAAGTTTTTCTAAAAATAAGAAAATACGAAGAACTGCTGAGAAATCTGCTAGCAAGCCCGGAATGGGGGTGGGGGGTGTGTGTCTGTGTCGGGAAGCGAGCGTTGTTTTGCAACCTGGTTGCTAGATCCCCATGCTATAACGTGGCGCTGAGAGTTGCTTCCTGTATAATTACTTCTGTTCTGGACGTGCTCCTGACTCATCCACCCACCCACCCCCCGTCGCATGGGGCAGGCCGCTTCCCACTGTGCCTCAGTTTCCCCATCTGTAAACTGGGGACTTTGCTACTTAACGCTTCTGCCAAGGTGTTTCATGAACCAAATTATTTGTGGGTGGATATACTGCTAGTCGCGTTAGCTAATGATCCAGTGCTTGGGGTGAGGGGGGAAAATTGTATTGATTTATAGGCAGACAGCATCTCTGCTGCAAGGAGTAGAGGGGTTTACTGCTTGAGACGGAGAGGAGGGAAACATTATTCCCAATTTAGACATCAGAAGGCTGGGCCCGGGGCAAGTTAAGGGGCTCGTTCAGGGCAGGCAGCACGGTGAAGCTGGGCAGGATTTGGTCTTGCCTGTGTTTGGCCTTGGTGCACCTCTCCCGGCGAAGGGGGATCCCTTGCGAACGGAGGCGAGCCAGCCCCGGGCTGCTTGGTTTGCTCTGGCTTTTTCAGCCTTTGAAGAGAGGATGTATTTAAAGTCAAGTGGATCCGTTTCTGCCGTGCTAGCGCATCAGGAGTGACTGATTTGTTTATCTCTTTCCAAACAAACCCTCGGCATTGGAAAGAACTGCTGCTTCTGCTGAAGCCTTTCTGAGATGCGGGGGGCTGGTGCCAGGTCTGCTGCCGGCGCTTCGTGAGGCCAGTCTCCTGTCCTCTCCGGCCACCGCAGAGGCTCCTGTTCCTGGGGAAGGCGCAGCGGGTGCCTTGGGTTTAAGCGTTTAAGCTCGGCTCTGTAAAACGCCCTTAGCAGCAGGCTGGGGTGGTTGGTGCTCCCCTGTTCCTGCACACCGGTGCCCTCGGGCGCTGAGCTTGCTGCTGTGCCCTTTCCAAAGGATGCTCGCTGCCGGCACCCTGCCTGCATCTCTCTGAGCGTGTCTGCAGACCCTGGGAGCCCAGGGACGAGCGATGGGGACGGTTTTCCCAGAGGTTACGTGATTGTATCAGGAGTTTGGCTGGGCAGAGCGAGGCTGAATGAGCAGGGGACCTTTCCAGTAGTAGTGGTGGGATTGGGAAATAAGCCTAGAGGCGGACTGGGGTCCACTGGTGAGGCTCAAGCCGCTCTAGCCCAACGCCAGGCACGCCTGCTAGCTCGGTCCAGATGCCGTCTGGCTGTATTAACCCTGGTCCCCGCCAAGGCTTGCTAGCTCTGGCCCGTGCTAGCTCTTAGATCCGTGCGAATTCAGCTGTTCTTCCAGACTCTGAGAGCACCTGGGTTGTGTTTCTCCTCCTCCTTCCCAGAGTGAAGGTAAGCACGGGTCCGTCCTCGCCTGCTGATGGAGACATGTCTCAAATGCCGGGCAGGACGGTGGACTCGACGGTGATGTGGAGAGGTGCGGAGGGCACGCAAGCCGACAGCTAGTGCTTGCTGCAGAGCACGCTGGCATTGGTGGACAGGTACCTGCCGACGGGCAGCTCTGCGTTGGGAGTTTGCCCGTGCGGTGCCTCTGAGCAGCCAAGGCCCCTGTGACTCATTGCACTTTCCTCCTTCTCTCCTAGCCTTTTGCATCGAAGATGGCGGGTGGCGTGGACGGCCCCATAGGGATCCCGTTCCCCGATCACAGCAGCGACATCCTCAGCAGTCTGAATGAGCAGAGAAACAACGGGCTGTTGTGCGACGTGGTCATCTTGGTGGAAGGCCAGGAGTTCCCCACCCACCGCTCCGTCCTGGCGGCGTGCAGCCAGTACTTCAAGAAGCTCTTCACCTCAGGGTTAGTGGTGGACCAGCAAAACGTGTATGAGATAGACTTTGTGAGTGCGGACGCCTTGTCGGCTCTGCTGGAGTTCGCTTACACCGCGACCCTTACCGTCAGCACTTCAAATGTCAACGACATCCTCAATGCCGCCACACTGCTGGAGATCCCGGCGGTAAGGGATGTTTGCACGGATCTCCTGGACAGGAAGATTCTGGCCAAAAATGACCAGATGGATACAGTAGATCAAATTGATCAAAGGAACCATCTCAGAGCAAAAGAGTACCTGGAGTTCTTCCAGAGCAACCCCGTCAACGGCCACCAAGGCAGCTTTCCGTGGACCAACCCAGAGTTGAGAGACCTTCAGAGACTGAACTTCCGAGGCCAAGAGGAGGAGGAGGAGCCGGACTGCAATGGCATAGACTTCTACTCGCAAGCCCCCCTAAACGAAAGACCAAAGGCAAATGACTGTGATCCTGACAGCAACCCAGCCATGTGGCTGGACAGAGAGGAGGAGGAGGCGGCGGCTCCTGGCTCCTTGTTTTCACCTTCTCAGAACGGACATTACAGCGGCCGCGGCCCGCCCACACCGGGAGAAGAGGAGGGGACCCCGGGGGGGCCTCTGGACCAGCAGGAAGCCGGCGACTCCCCCAGCTTCGTTCCTGCTGGAGCGGAGACGGAGGATGATGCGAGGGAGGTGGATGGCTTGGCTGCTAGCGCCCTGCTGCAGCAAATGATCAATTCCGTGGGGAGACAGCAGCTCGGGGAGGACGACCGAAAGGATGATGATGGGGTCATGGATTATTACTTGAAATATTTCGGCAGTTCGAACGAGGGCGATGTCTATCCGTCCTGGTCCCAGAAGGTGGAGAAGAAGATCAGGGCAAAAGCATTCCAAAAGTGCCCCATCTGCGAGAAGGTGATCCAGGGGGCTGGCAAGCTGCCGCGCCACATCCGCACCCACACCGGGGAGAAGCCCTACGAGTGCAACATCTGCAAAGTCCGATTCACCAGGTAAGGAGTGGGCGGACGCTGGAGGAGAGGGGGCTGTCACAAAACTGGCTCTTGGCTTTCCCCGTGGGTCGGCGCGGGGCTGGTCTTGTGCAATTTTAGCTTGCCTGCTCAACTAATTTCCATCTTAACAGGCGAGTTGGATATGAAGGGCACAGTTTTCCAGAGAGACGAGCAATTTGGGTGTCTGACTCTTGAGATACCTCAAGGGGCCTGTCTTGATAGCCAGTGCCACACTGTCCCAGTGTCCTGAATTGCTGAGCTCTGCTGGAAACCTGGCCAGACCCGGGCTTCTGCGGAGGCCAAGTAACGTGGTTGATGAAACAGAGCTGCAGCCCTTGGTATTTCCATCGTGGCCGAGGCACCCGCAGTTGAGGTGAGAGTTGGAGAGTCACTTAGAAATGGCTCCATGGGGTGACTGAAGCGCTGGTGGCTGGTAGTTGGGTTGGGAAGAGGCTGGAACCCGCACCGCTCGCGTCCTCTCTCGGCGAACCATCACGAGCTGAGCGACGGCCGCCCCGAACAACACACAAACCCCGGTGCCTTGGTTCAACTCCCCGGGGGCGTTCGCCTCGCCGCTGTTTCTAATCAGGGTTCCTCTGCTCCTTCCCTCCGCCATGGGAACGCTGAAGAAAGGAGATATTGTTTGGATTCCTCCGGTTCACTCGAGTCCACGCGTCGCAGCGCCGCCTCCTCTCTCTGGGCTCTGCGGCTGCGATGGCTGAGCCGGGGGGGGGGGTCCCCCCCCGGTCCCCCCCTGGTCCCCCCCTGGCCCTGCCGAGGGACTGCGTGGGCTGCCTGGCGGAGGAGCCAGACTGCCTGCCCTGCCTGCTCTCTGCCTGCTGAAATATTCCCGGCTTT